GTCTGCTATCTAGACGATATCCTGATCTATTCCAAGAATGTTGAAGAACATGAAATACATGTTCGTCAAGTATTACAAAAACTTAGAGATGTAGGATTGTACGCCAAGATGGAAAAGTGTGTATTTCACACTACTCAAGTTGACTTTTTAGGATACATCATTTCAAATGATGGTCTCATGATGGATTCTAAGAAAGTCCAAACAATCGTGGATTGGAAGATTCCAAGCACAGTAAGAGATGTCCAATGTTTCTTGGGATTTGCCAATTACTATCGGATCTTCATCAAAGATTTCTCACGAGTTGCAGCTCCACTTACACGCTTGACTAGTAAAGATAAATTCCAATGGAATCAAGAAGCAGAAGGACCATTTGAAGCCTTGAAGACATCGTTTGTCTCTGCACCAGTCTTATATCGTGTTGACTTTTCCAAGGCATTTTTTATACAAACAGATGCATCAGATTTTGCCTTGGGTGCAGTTTTATCACAAATGGGAACAGATGACAAACTCCATCCGATAGCTTTTCATTCAAGAAAATTCTCAGCAGCCGAGATCAATTATGAGATCCACGATAAAGAACTTCTTGCGATCGTGGATTCCTTTCAAGAATGGCGTCATTATCTAGAAGGCGCTTCTAGTCCAGTCACTGTGTATACAGATCACAAGAACCTCGAGTATTTCATGTCAGCACGCGTGTTGAATCGTCGTCAAGCTCGTTGGAGTATGTCTTTGTCAAGATTCGAGTTCATTATCACTTATCGGCCAGGAAAACAACAAGGTTTATCCGATGCCCTATCTAGACGTTCTTATTTTGCACCAAAAGAAGGAGATGCAGCTTTTGAGCAACAAAGAACGGTCCTCTTGAAACCGGAGCAATTTCATCTCCGAGCAATGAAATCAACATTGACTGTTGATTCAACTTTTCTCAAGAAAATCCAGTCCAGTATGTCCTCAGACCCTCTTGTTTATGATATCAAGAATAATTCTTCCAAGTCTCATGATCCTTCTAAGTTTGAGTTCAAGAATAATCTATTATATTTTGAAGGACGCCTATATGTTCCAGAAGGAGAAGCACGTTTACGTGTTCTTCAAGCATGTCATGACTTTCCAGCAGCAGGGCACTTTGGATATAATAAGACTTTGGAACTCATATCAAGAGATTTTTGGTGGCCACAAATGTGGAAGTCAGTCAAAGACTTTGTACAATCATGTGATATTTGTTCAAAATCAAAAATTCCTCGTCATCGACCTTACGGACTTCTTCAGCCATTACCTATACCAGAACAACCATGGTCTTCTGTTTCTATGGATTTCATCACAGATCTTTCAAGCTCAAGATCTTATGATTCTATATTTGTGATAGTAGATCGTTTCACCAAGATGGCACATTTTGTGCCATGTACAAAATCTATCACAGGTGAAGAAACAGCTAAGCTTTTCATTGATAATATCTATCGCTATCATGGATTACCTAAAGATATCATATCGGATAGGGGAACTCAATTTGTGTCAAGATTTTGGAGGACCCTTTTCAAGATTTTAAAAGTGGACATAAAGCTATCTTCGGCTTTCCATCCTCAAACTGATGGACAAACAGAGCGCGTAAACCAAGTCTTGGAGCAATATTTAAGGTGTACTATCAACTACCAACAAGATGATTGGACAACCCTTCTGCCATTGGCAGAGTTTGCTTATAATAATACGGTACATTCTTCCACGCAACAAACACCTTTCTTTGCCAATTATGGCTATCATCCACGACTTGGTACTTTTGATTTTTCAAAAGTTGATAATCCTGCAGCAGAAGATATGGCAAATCGGTTGTCAGAGTTACATGTAATAATGAAGACACAATTGAAGGAAGCTCAAGAACAACAAAAAATAAACGCAGATCTATATCGTAAGGAGCAACCACAAATCAACGTGGGTGATAAGGTATGGCTACTTCGTCGCAATATCAAGACTACTCGACCTTGTGACAAGTTGGACTATCGTAGGCTTGGCCCCTTTTCTGTTTCTGAACAGATCAACCCAGTTGCATATCGGTTACATCTACCGGAGTCAATGAAGATCCATCCTGTATTCCACGTATCTCTTCTTGAACCATATAAGACAGTGGATATACAAGGAAGAAGACAAATGCCACCGCCTCCTATAGAAGTAGATAATAATGAAGAATTTGAGGTGGAAGAGATATTAGACTCAAGGCAGCGCCGAAATAAGCTGGAATATCTTGTTCATTGGCGCGGATATGATATTAGTGAACGCACATGGGAGCCATCCAGGAATCTAGCAAATGCATCAGCTAAAGTCAAAGTTTTTCATCAACGACATCCATCAAAACCAAGATGAAAATCTCTCTTATAAAAGAGACAAGATTGAGGCAAGATAACATTCAATTTCCTATCCTTGTTTGTAACTTCTTTACATTTGTGATGCTACTTAGATGGAGAGCCAACAACCAGCGGATTCAACTCAAGAACCTTCGTTTGCTGACCTGCCGGACGAGACATTACGATTGTCACAACCTTCAAGATGACGCAATCGAGATGAAGATCTTCAAGAACGACATGTTCTTCCTCGAACAGATGGTGAGATACAACGCGTTTGGTATCATGATTTGGGAAGGGGCTCCCGATGTTTGGTGATTTTGCTAGAGGTAGGAACAACTCCTGATGGTGTTCCGAATATTCTATTTGAAGGAAGTTATGAAGGCCTCAATAATGATCAAATAACTGGGTGGTCTTCCCGCCCTGGTATGGGACACTACCGATGGTTGAAAGGCCCTATCAATCATCTTCGAAGAGAACAGAGATCAGAGTATGTGGCGAATACAATTCGTCGCATCATAGATTTCCTCAACATATGATGACCGCTCCTCGTGGAACTCGTCTCTAGAAGGGGGGGTAATGTTACGGCCATAATCATGTAAGCTAATAATTACATATAGAAATAGGTAGAAGTAAGTAAAAGTAGATAAAAGTAAGTTAATTCTTTAATATTTAATATAGAAGCTTCCTAGAAACTTCCTAGATGCTGCTTTGACTTCGTAGGTGTCTTTAATTGACTTTTTGGATTAGAAACGTGGTCAACAAGTTGGCCATGTGCCACACATGTTGTTTGCTTGAAGATCAAGCTAACTATGTGGCCCACACGTAGAAAAACTTGCCTTGTAAGTCAAGGCATGTGTCCTACAAAGTCAACACATATTGGAGGTCCTATAGAATGTCGCCACGTAGCCCCTAGTTAGATAGTATATATAGAGACAAGAGTGAAGGCTTCTTCACTCTTGTCAACTCCTTTCTTGCTTCTAGTCTAGGTTCAAGAGTCTTTAGTTTCTTGTCTTGTGGCAATAGCCATTCCAGTTTCCATTTAATATACCTACTTGTTTATATTTTGACTTATTATATCGAGATAGCCTTTTGGTGTATATTTTTCCTCATCGAGTCTTTGTCCTTGACAATATGACATTATTGAGATATGGATCTTCGAGAACAACATATCTTTCTTCAAATACATGGTGAGATATAATATGTTTGATATCACGACAATGGAAGAGACTCTTGATGTTTGGTGATTTTATTAGTAGTAGAAAAAATTCTAAATGGTGTTTCAATTATTTTATTTGAAGGAAGTTATAAAGGCCTCAATAATGATCAAATAACAAGGTGATCTTCCTACCTTGGTATAGAATATTATCAATGGTTGAGAAGACCTATCAACCACCTTTAAAGAGAATAAAGATTAGACTATATAGTAAATACAATTTGTTGCATCTTAAATTTTTTCAACATATGATGACCACTCCTAGTGGAATTTGTTTCTAAAAAAGGAGATAATGTCACAGACATACATATTTATGTTAATATTTATGTATATGATTAAATATAAGTAGATAAAAATAGATTTATTTCATAATATTTTCTAAAGAAGCTTCTTAAAAGATTTAAAGATTTTATTTTGATCTTACATGTATTTATAATTGATTGATAGGTTAGAAACTTGATCGATAAATTAATTATGTGTTGATAGCTTGCGGAACAAGCTAATTATGTGGGATACATATAAAAAACTTGCATTGCAAGTTAAGATACGTGTCTCACAAAGTCAACACGTTTTGGAGGTCCTACAGAACATTGCCGTATAGCTCCTAGTTAAGAATATATAAGGAGGCAAGAGTGAAGCCTTCTTCATTCTTATCCATGCCTTAATCTTGTTTCAAGACTTTTTAATCTTCTTGTCTTTGGCAATAGCCATTCTAATTTAATACTATATCATCTTTGAGTGATTTTTTAGTCTTTTCAAGTGTCACAAGAGTGTATTGACATTTTAATTCTTTGAGGTTCATATCCTTGACAACATATGTAATTAGTGGTTTTTGTACTTATTTTAGTTTTCAAATTTTTTTTCACAGAATAATGCTTCAAAAATTATTTGACAAGTAGTAGTTTTTGTTGTGTTTATCTATCATAAATAAAAATAAATAAATCTAATATCAAAATAAAGGTTAAAAAAAGAAAAAAAGAAAAAAAAATCCCTCTTTTGTAGTTCCAATCTATTATTGTTTGTTAAAAAGAATATATATATATATATATATATTATTAAATTTATCCACATATCTTAACCATCATCAAAAAAACTCTCTATTGCTGGATCTGCAGTAGTTGAAAACCAATGAAGAAATGGTTGGATCTTCAAACAATAATGACATGTGGATTAATTCAGTAAATATATGAGTCAATTTAATAATTTCCTATATATATGTATTTATACATTCTCAATTTTTTACCATAAAAAATACCGTAAGAAGTAAGAAAGAGTATATATCATAACATTTACTTGCAATTAAATCGTTTTCATGGATATGATTAGGTCCAAACAACATCGAACTGAATCCCAACACCGCGCCAACTCTCCCACCCACAACCGCAGCGTCGCCGTACCGTGGACCCCAAACCACCTATGACCGCACCGTGTACCGAAGCACGAGTGCTGCACCCATTGTAGCGGTCTGTGCGTGCGTTCCCTCGGCGATGGTGGGTTTTGGTGGGAGATCTCGTCTTCCCTTTCTCTGTATGTCACGCACTCACTCACTCACTCTGCGAAGCGAGAGAGAGAGCGAGAGAGGGAGCCCTGAGCAATCGCTCTGTTATTGAGCTTTTTCCAGGATTGGAATCCAGAGCCTACTTCTTCACCGCTGAGTTTGTCTGGGAAGGCCGGAGTCGCAGGATCAGCCAACGAAGATGATCTCGCAGTTCTTCGTGCTATCGTTGCGTGGCGACAACATCGTCTTCCGTGATTGTGAGTGATTGCGCTCGCTCGTTTCATTGCCCTTTGGTGTCTACATTTTGTCTTTTTTTTCTTCTCTTTCTTAGTATCATCACGATTGTTATCCGATTGGCTTATGATGATCTGTAGGGTATCGTGGAAGCTTGTTGATAGCCACGAGGTGCAATTTTAATATGGGTGTGATTGTTCTTCGGTGCTCTATTTCCTTGGGGATTCAGCTGCTTTAGCTCTGAGTTTGAGGGTAATTGGCATGCAATATGGAAAGGTCAAATTCAGATTTTGGTTTTTCTGGGTTGTTGCATTACGTTGGGTGTCGGGGTTTTGACAGAGCTCGGCTAAGTGTTCTCTTTAATGTGTGTATAGCTGCATTTAGGTCAAGTCAATTCTGTGGATTGCACGCTGATCTGGTGCGGGTTATAGTTGTCGTCGGTGTTCGCTTCGACTCTTGAGCGCATGGGAGTTGTGTTGATTCACTAGGGTTTCCACAGATTCAGCATTAGTTTCATGGTTATGAATATGCGTTTCCATCTGGGTGCATTAACCGGAGCTTGCATCTTGTAGTGTAGTTTAGGTCAATGTCTGAATGAGTCCTGGTTCAAACTGGTGCGTTTGTAGCTGTAGTTATATGTTAAAATTGTAATGTTGGAAACGTTCAATTAAAATTGTGAATAAAAAATTGTTAGCTTCTCTAAAGATGCATTTAGCATTATTAGACGTTCTTTTCCCTTGGTGGATGGTGACTTTGATTTTCACGAGTTGCTGTTGAATCAGCTGAAATTTGGTTCGTTGATTGATGTCTGCAGACAGAGGAGATGTGTCCAAAAGCAGCGCTGAGATCTTTTTCCGCAAAGTGAAGTTCTGGAAAGGTGAAGAAGGCGAGGAGGCTCCACCTGTGTTTGTAGGTACTCTTTTCCTCTTTTATTCGTTTATTGGTGCTCGTAGTATAAGTTGGGGAAAATGGCGCTAAAGTTGTCCAGTACAGCGAATAGAAGGTGTGTGCTATCAGCATTCTATCAGCACTTGCTAAAGCTGTATTCTAAGTGCGTGTGGTTTCGGTGCGAGCTCCTTTTCTTTGATTGAGACAGTTGGTCAGTGGAGATTAGGAGCTTTTTAAGTAGCTTATTCTCTCTTCTTCTCTTGCATACTTGAGATCTGGCGCTCTACGTTCACTTTGTGGTTCTGGGCGGAGAGTGCATATATCAATCAGGTTCTGAGTTTTTTCATGATACGTTTTATTATGGATCCTAACTATAGGTTTTGTTCTGAATTGTGCTGTAGAATGTGGATGGAGTAAATTATCTTCACGTGAAGCACTCGGGATTGCTTTTTGTAGCAACTACCCGAGTAAACCCTTCACCTGCGTTGGTTTTGGAGCTCCTACAGAGAATAGCTCGTGTGGCTAAAGATTACCTTGGAGTCCTCAACGAGGATTCTTTGCGCAAGAATTTTGTCTTAGTTTACGAGCTACTGGATGAAATGATTGTAAGCTTTTGAAGTGTCTCTATTTTTGCTATATTGTGTTTGAGGAATCTTCCATTAGAAGATGTCAGCCCTCTTCATGCATAATTTTTCATGAATGTTCATTCTCTTGTAATTAATTTCTGATCCCTCGATTAGTCTTACTAGCAACACGAAAGAGAGTGGAAACGAATACTGAATTTTGAGTCCTCATGATTTTTGGCCCTCCGGATTCTAGAGTTGAAGTCGTTTGTGTTTTTGTAGAACATGTAAGTTAAAGTAATTGTACTTTCTAATGTGTGGTCATGTGCAGGATTTTGGCTATCCTCAAACGACATCTACAGAAGGTCTCAAATCATTTGTGTTCAACGAACCTGTCGTAGTAGATGCCGCTCGCATACCTTCACTGGGCCCAGCTGCTATGTTTATTGTGAGTTTCTTTTCCAGGTCAATAGTTGATGAACGGGGTCTGTTTCGTGCATAAGAGCAGTTTCTATGTAGGTTTGTGCTTACATCCATGACACGTGGTTGTTACAGCCAGGGTCAAAACGTGTTCCTGGAACTGCAGTCACCAAGTCTGTGGTAGCCAGTGATGCATCGGGCAATAAGCGGGAGGAAGTTTTTGTTGACATCATTGAAAAGATTAGCGTTACGTTTAACGCAAGTGTAAGTATTGCTGGTGTGCGCTTTTTCTGATTTTGAGTTGAAATATTTGCACGAAGTTTATGCATGCATGATCAATACAGTATATTTTTCTATTGAAGTTGCATTCAGCAATAAGTTTGTCAAAGGCCATATAATTTGGTGACCAATCAATGGTTCGTAGTGAATATCATGGTGTGTGGGTTTTGGCGCAGGGATATGTCTTGACATCCGAGATAGATGGAACTATCCAAATGAAGAGTTATTTGACAGGAAATCCGGAAATCAAAGTTGGATTGAGTGATGATCTTGCAGTTGGGGTGCGCAGCAACAACAATAACACTTTTGGTAAGTTTTTAGTATTTTTTCTTTAGATAAAACTTAAACACTTGGTTAATTAATCTCATCATATTGTTTTTTGTCTGATGCAAAAACTTTGATAATTTTGGAATCCTACAGGGATGTAACTCCATGGTGTGGATTATTTGACCTGAATTATAGAGAGGTGATTTTAGATATAAGAGTCGCTTGATGTTGAAGTATTGTATGCTAGTATGTCTGGTTTATCTTTTTACTATATAAGAGGTCGTTTGATCTGTGTGTGCCCGTTTTATAAAGCCGGCTTTACGAAGGGTGTAAGCATTTCCAAAAATGTGTTTGCGGATAAGTTTAGAATTTGGTTCCCAATCGTTACCATAAGTCATGGAGCAAATCCCTAAAAGCTAAATCCTGTGAGCCTTAGCGTATGTTATCTTAGTGCACTTGTAAGGCCTACTACGAGGCTGACGAATTTGTACGGTTTTCTTGAATTTGATCATTCAGCTCCTGATTACAGCGTTGGAAGTGGAGTGGGTCTTGTGGTTTTGGATGACTGCAATTTCCATGAATCTGTGCGGCTTGATGACTTTGAAACTGAGCGTGCTCTTACTTTGGTGAGTCCATTTCTTGCACTTTGTACCTAGTGTCTTTTTGCAGGTTAACTAATCTGAATATTCCTCACGACTCAGCACGTGGATAAGATGCTTTGTTTAGATCTGTTTTATGTACCTTTGCTAGACTGCTTATGATATCAGGTTAATTGAATGTATAGGTTCCACCAGATGGAGAGTTTCCAATAATGAACTATCGAATGACGCAAGAGTTTAAGCCTCCATTTAAGGTTTATCCTGTGATTGAAGAGAAGGGGCCATTTAAGGTACCGTATATTTGGCTCTGTGCTGTTGACCAAATGTTGGTTTTATTTTGTTTTATTTTATTTTTATTCATATTGTATTTTCTTAGTTTCAGTCAAGGAAGATGTGATCTTAAACTTTGAAGTTTCGCTATTGCAATCTGCAATTGTACAGTTTTTGTTCAGTGAAGGCATCACTTTTGGCTTGCTCGGAAGGATATTAGTGTAGTGTTCTTTTTTCCATCTGAATGCTTGATTATTAGTGTGCTCTGAAATTTGCAGGCTGAGATTCGTTTGACTGTTCGTGCTGACTTTGCATCCAATATTACAGCGAATATGGTAGTTTTGAGGGTGCCTATGCCAAAGACCACCACAAGGTATTAAGATCTCCGTATGAGCCTGCTTTAAAATCTGCTATGTTTGAAACTCATTCCTCATAGTAAGCGTCAGTTCTAGATTGTTTTTCAGAGAATTGAATAAAACAAAGCACAGTGTGGTCGTGCGGCGTGTTTAGGAACTTTACATCTTGCTCTATAATGTAGAATGATCAGATGATACACTTTCAATTGCTTTCTCATACTCGTGAATTGATAATTGGTCGGATAGGGTGAGCTTTGTACTGGAGGAAGGGGCTGTTGGTCAAACCACAGACTTTAAAGAATCCACTAAAGTTATGGAATGGTGTTGTCGAAAGGTAATGACAGACCTGCTTGCCTGTTCTCATTTGTCTTTCCAAGCCTTATTACCAATTAATAGTACAATGATAGATTTGTGAAAGATAGCTTGCACAAAATGTAAAGAATTATTTGTTGATAAGCACTTGGTTCTCGTAGTCACTATTCACTAGTGTAAAATTGAATTCTTTTGCTTTTTGCTGGTTGGTTTGTGGGCATGTTGAAATTTTATATCACCTGAGTTTAACGGTTGGTTGACTGATCCAGATTGTTGGGGGTTCTGATCACGTGTTGGTAGCCAAGCTTACTCTCTCACAAGAAAAGAATCGTATGTACCGCATCATTCGTATTAAACATCATCTCGTTTTCAGTGTATTGAAAATCTTTAATCTCTCAATCAGAAGTAGGCTGGTATTCTTCACGTCGCATCCACTTTCTTTCTCTGGAGGTTATATTGATTTTTGGTCACTATCATATGACGTGGTTGCAGTTAATATTAAGAAGGAAGCTGGGCCAATCAGCATGACATTCACAATCCCCATGTACAATGCTTCCAAGCTGCAGGTATCGTTTTTATTTTCAAATACAACCGCTCTCCTAGTACCGACTTGTGTGATAAGCAGTTGCTGTGGAGATTTTAATCGTGGAATCACCTTTGGTGCTCTTGGTTGTATGAGAATAGTAGTATAGTCCTCGATATCAACTTAGCTGTTCTTTTCGTCGGGCTCTGTTATCTAATTGTGATGAATTTTGCAGGTTAAATATTTGCAGATTGTTAAGAAGACAAAGTCTTATAATCCTCATAGGTGGGTCCGATATGTTACGCTTGCAAACTCTTATGTTATCCGGACATGAAATGGCTGTCAACCAATCTTTTGAGTGTTCATACGACTATGCTGAGGGGCACTGAGCTCTTTTATGATTATCAGCGCCGTGTGCTATTCATACTATGCATGCATCATGCTGTTGTTTGGCACGTGTCTACTAGTGACATAGTGTAGATTGCAGCTTCGATTTGTGGAACCTCGAGTTGCTTTGATAGTGTACATGCTATTTAATAAAGTGTTGCTTACATAGTTGGTGAAATTCTAGGATTCCTTTCGAGTAGGTATTTGAATTGGTATAGAACACGAATTGCTAGTCACTTAGTAAAGCAGATTGCCTCCTTCAGTACATTGAAGATGCGTCAATTGCTGGGACTGCGCTAACCCACTTATTGGAGTGTTCTTGTTCCTTCATCCTTGTTCTATTGTGCATGCTTGTGGATGCATAGAGCATGCAAACGAGGTCTGGTATCTAGTTTATTCAAATAAGTTGTTCTCACACAAGAACTTCCACTTGTTTTGACTCATTTTTGCAGTCTTGTATGATGGCATTAATCTATGTTTCTGAATTGTTATGTCTTGTTATCAGTGAACCTACGAAACTATGCTGAAAGTTATCAGTAGCATTTTCTCTTCTTGGTTCTATAATCTAAGATAGGCTCCTCACAATCGTTGCTCTAGATATGAACTCACTCCTGACTTTTGTCCAGACGTGGCTTCCTTAACTTGTTCTGTTGTGTACCAGTATGTTAGAGTTCAATGAAAGAATACAAACCTATTACATTCCTTATGTGAAAGTCGAAAGGACTGGTGCAATTGATAGAAGGGATCATTTTGTCCTCATTTATTTATTTCATAGATGCTAGCTGAGTATTTACTAGCCCCATTTCAAGGACTTACTAGAAAAGTATTCACTTAAAGACTTGGCGCATTTATGCAGTTAAACTGTTGCAAGTCCTGACCACCTTTAATAACTCATATTTTCATTATCAGCACCAAGTGGAATATTGACCAGCAGCCAGTGTATACGTTAAGTCACATAAGAGTGTTGTGTTTTTGTGGTAATGTAATGCAAGCTGTGGATGGTTTTCCTTATTTGAAGGAAGCTGCATCACATAAAATCTGAAATTTCTGAAATTAACAGTGGAATTGATTATTGCTTTAAATAATTTTCATTGTGATCTATCAAATATTATAAGGGCCATTATATAATTTATGATATATATATATATATATATATACAAAAGTTTTTTTTCGTCATTTTTATATATCTAATTTTAAATCTAGTGAATATTCTAGTTCTTAGAACTATTGTAGAAAACATCTTTAACAACCATGTATACTATTGTTACATTGCTTTGTCATAATATCTATTGAATTTCCACAAAATATTTTTGTTTGAGCCTGATCTAATATTTCTTAATGGGTTAAAAAATCAGTACTACAATAAATTTATAATATTTTTATTTTTATTTTAATATTAAATATGAATTTTTATTCTATATACAAATAAATTTATATTCTAAAATAAAAAAATAGAATACAAATTCATATAAATTACAATACAACCAAGTAATAATGGCTATATATTGTCAAATGATTATATAATGCCATTGGTTTATACAAATAAAGACTTATTTGTATTTATTTTTGCAAAGTGTTGATTTGAATCAATTTAATGAATAATAAGTGCTTTATTTTAATCCAATATAATATATTATTAATATGATAGATTATCTCTTATATATATATGTACATATATTATAGCATAGTTTTTAAAATACTTATATAATCTATTGATTTTATAGTTTTGTTGCAAAATTCAACTTGATATCTAGACAATAAGATAGCTTGCAAAGTATAGACAATTATTTCTTTTGTTAATTTTTATCTTAGTTTAATGTCTACTCTTAGGATTATAACTTCTTATGTACATTTGTCAATTTTTCTTGAATTATTATAAATTCAAATATATATCATATTCTTTATTTTTTTTTAATATATAGATATAATTAGTGCAAAAATTATTTTACATTCTATGTAAAATATCCAAAGTGGTTTTTATTAATATAATCTAAGTTAATACTTCTATATTTTAGACTTCTACAAGTTTACTTTATAAGTGTCACATTATTGTAAATATATAAAAACATACACAAAAATACTTTGTAAAGTATATGAAGAGTTTATTTTATTTTAAAAATTCTATTTAGTTTAAAAATCTAATTTAATAGTCATTATTTTACCATAAATTATTTAATCAAATTATTTTAAATTTTTTTTGTTAAATTTTGAAATTTCCAACTTATTTATATTTATAATCACTATACTGAATGTATATATATATATATATATATATATATTTGATTATTTACTTATTGCTAGATTTGAGTCAAACTTGTTGCTAAGTGTAACAACTTGGCATGATATAATAAGATGGGCTCTCGACACGAACTTGCACCCCCGAAATTCGCAGCACGTGGAAAGCACAGCATGAATGCGTCCAATGGAAAATTGAAGGTCACACCTTTATTTAACTATTTCTAGAATATCCGAAAGTCAACGAAAAATTCTCTACAAACCTCATTTGGGATGTTGGGGTATTTTCTAAAACAAGGTAACAATCAAGGACAGATAGAAGAGGAAGTCAACTCCATAGCAACTGCATGTAGTGTATGAATGGGAAATCGCTCATTAAGATTGGGTGGTTGAAGGATGCAACCAAGCCAAGTTTTCAGAACAATGAAACTATTGTTAGTAAGAGAAAACGATCATGATCCGATGGAGTGAAGGGTGGCACCGGGTTGGTGATATGAAATGGTTGTTGTTAATTGACATTGTAACAAACTCTCCCAGGTTCCCGGTTCCTGATGCTTGATTCTTCCAAGGATATCATAAACAATCCGATGAACACGCAACAGTGTGCGCAAGTGGGTTACAGATCATCGCATCGCTCTCATGTTAGTCATTACAGATGGGCTCACTTGAGTTTCTCGGTTTCTAGACAATCCCATGATCGTTTTTTGAACCTTCACTGTTCCCTTCCGAGAAAATTCTAGGTAGAAACTTTGTTCGTGGATATTGTGATAGAAATACGTTTATTCTTTGGATCTGCTTGAGCTTCGGAGTCTGATTCAGGGCTTCGGTTTGACTGTTTTTGGGTGTTCTGTGTTTTTGTTAGATATCTGGGTCGATTGGTGAATTCATTAGCAATGTGACAACGAGGTCCTTGAGATGGACATCCAGGAGTGGTACCCATGGCACTGAGATATACTGTCTTTTAAGAAATAGTAATCATGCTGTGGGTTGGTATTTTGGATGACGATAATGGTGAGGGGCATTTGTGGCACTGGGATATATTGTAATGTTACAATTTTTTAGCGTTGAGGAAAGTATACTTCTGTTCGAAGACCCCACTGTAATAATGGGAAAAAGCACAAGCTTGGGATCTGTGTAATATTGGAGCAGACATTGAGTGCACTGATGAAGTCACAATGGGCTCATATGACATGACAAATGACTATTAGTGGAGGTATTAACATAGATCAACGAACAGCATTGCAAATCGAAAAAGACTCACGCGTGTTTCTTTATTTGATGTGTAACAGCTTGCTCAGAACTATACCGGAATTTAAATGATCGTGCATCCATTTAGCATGTTACGTCTATGTTACGAACTGACTTCTTGCTGTCATCTATCCACGAAGATTATGATTGAGCTGCAATTATGAACATGTACAGGAATGAGCGGTTCTCGGCCATTACCTTCGAGGATGCACCTTTTGATGAACTACGAATCCTTGGATATGATGGCGCTTTTCAGACCTTCTATTACATCATCCCCAGTGATCGAGGGTTCTTTCACAACTCTTGGCTGGTCAAAACAGACATCACGCAACAGATATTGTATGAGATAAAGCATGATTGAGTGGCAACGCATATTAATAAGCATAAGACTCCAGCTCCAGAACACTAACTGATTCCCGCAATGTGCAGAATTCCAATCAATATGCAATATCGTATAGCTCTTCCGCAGGCGTCGGATTCATTATAGAATCTGCCTAGTATTGAAGTGTGAGGGATGTCCTCAGACTTCCAGTTTTCAAAAGAATGAGAGCCAGTCACAAAAGTCTTAAGTATTGTCGTTGTACATTCAACGTACCACATTGAATAGTGCAAAGGGGGTAGCTGAGCTCAGTGAGATGATACCTTGAGAATAATAACACAAACAAGGTGGTTATGAAACTTGGTAATGCTACAGCTTGACACATCCATCTCCAGGCGCTCCATCTCTTTCATGATTTGGCTCTGGATGTGGGGATGTGGGCGACATGTTATCTCAATTACAATCTGGTGTGGCCAGTCCATATGCACCTCGATCTTTTCAATGCACCTTTCCTCCCCTAATGTGTCCGATTCACTCTCTTCGCGTGCTGCGCAGCTTTTCAGAAATGCCACATTTAAGACTTCCTTCCTCAGATCTGGACTCGACACATAGTTATATGCTACTGAGTTGTTCTGCTTCTGCTTCTTCTGCTTCGGCGTGCCTTTGATTTGTACACCACTGAGAGAGCAAGCATTTGACTTCAATATCTCCAAGCGCTTCTCTTGTAAATTCTTGATGCACTCATGAAGGCTCTTTACATATGCAACCGAGTGGTCGACGATGGTGGACCTGTCACGCTTGATACGCAGGAACTGATCATCAGCGATTAACAAATTGATGTGCCTCCAATAACTAACAAGAGATGAAATTGCACATTGTCCTCATGATAAAGTTGTGCATTGTCCATATGATGTCTTCGTTGGTGACCAGAGATTTAGTGGCAGGCATGATAGTGCAGAAGGGTGCACAGGATCTACATTTTGTTTGGGTAAAGGTTACATAGAAGAATGACATTGCGACTGAATGACATGAAGCTCTTCTCGATACATGCCTGCAGAGTCACTTCAAGATGCTTTGAGTAGAATAGGCGCTAAATCAGGAATATTTTCTAATAATAATTGATAGACAATTGGTTGAGTTGGAGCTGGATCATTACCTTAGGCCCCGGAGGCAATAAGGACTCCAGCATGAGAAATTTATTGCTCATATCGTCTCTTCGTTGTCTCTCTCTGAGAATATGTTCAGCCTGATCAGTTAAGCGCTTGGACTTCATCCGTTGTTCACAACCAATCCTTTGGGACTTATGACTTCTGACAGTACGTAATTGAGGGCTCAACAACTCGCGGCCCGTGGTCTTCTGAGCATTCGGAGAGCAGGAAGTTTCGTAATCTGAGTTTTCCCCGGAAACATGCGAATTAGCTGGTTTACTGCTGTGAACCAACTTGGGTGGCGCTGGAGCATGGAAGAATTTAGATTCAATGTCATTGCCTGGTTTATGATCCGCGCTGTAAAGCCGTTGATGAGGAAGGCAGTTCCGATTTGTTGACCGTAACTGCATTTGACCCTGTGCAGATGACCCGTTGGTTGTAAATTGCGTTACAGTAGATGTTCGAGTCTCGGTGTTCGAAGTGTATTGTGTAATCTGGGTCTCGTCGCGGCCATTGTCATGTAGGAAACCATTAGGTTCTCTTCGCCTCAGTACATTTGTGGCAGCAGCTTGGATTATTTCTACATGCATAGACTGAAAAGACGATTGGCCGGCTTCGAGTGGGGAGGAACACGTCAAGTAAGGAGGAAAAGCATTTGAGAAACCGTCTTCCCCTTGAGCTTGGCCGATACTTTCTGGGAATGACAAGGGATCCTGAAAATATTCGTATACTTGCTTTTGCAATGGGCTCTCTGTACCATCTAACATGGCACCCAAGTCCAATGGAAAACTACTCGCTTTTGCGTCGCTATGTACTTCACTTCCATGGTAACCTTTCTCCATATCGATCGTGGATAAGCCCCGCATTGATCATACAAGTCACTGTGAGGTCTGACGATTGATCAACTTGTCTCACAGAGTTCTAAAATCATAGCCTGCTGTGTGCATGAGTTCAAAGATTTGTCGCACCCTAAGTTTTTTGAAAATTCCTCAGAAAATCGTCAGTTCTCAGACCACCAGCTCCTTGAATCAGATCAAAGTTCTACGATAATTCTGCTCCGCACCTAGAATAGATCTTAAATCTGTATGACCAGGTCAACACCACATCCACGATGATGATTAGATGCATGATGCTGAGCACATAAAAGTGAAAGGAGAATGTTCAAATCACAAGTTACAAGTACAAAAAACGTGGAGACTGATCAACTTCTCGCGCCAGACTTAATTCTGTCTTCAAATGTACAGCAAGACGATTTATAGGCCAACCCTTCCTTGAGCGCGGACAAAGTTCGTACTACCTATCTGGACTAACACTTGTGCGATGAATGAAGAGAAATAGGAAAGAGAATTGATTGATTTCCTACACATTCAAACACTGCTTGATTATTTAGAACTATACTGAAAGCTAGCGGAATAACACACTAACAAAATCCCTACAGCATACCAGGTCTGGTTCAAAACCCACAATATTTAGCGTAACGTGGTGTAAATTTGATGCTTCTGCCTCGTCTGTGCACATCAGTGAGAACTTCTGGCGGTTTCTGACGAGATGAAGCAAATGGATGGTCATCTGGATAACCAGGTAGGGACCTACGATTATCGAGAGAGGCGTTGATGGAGACAAAGGGGGTGTGCATATGAGAACCACGAAAGCTTGAGGGGTTCTCTAGCTATCTCATCGAACGCTAGTTTCTCGACAAGCTAACAATTCGAAGTGGTTGCAGCTTCTTGATTAATCTTACGAGCAGGTGCTAACAATGTTTAAAGAACTGCGCACCAGGAGCAGAAGGTAGCTACTCAAAGGGAACCATAAATAAGCCAAGGGCTCAGGTAAATACTCAAATCAATTACCTCTTGCGATGCGAGAGATCTAAGGAATTTTTCTTAGGGCGAGACGTCCATGAGCAAGCCCAGTCCTTGCAGTCGTCGCAGAAGCTGGCCATACGAGATATAGCCACATATCCAGTGCTTGTCAAGGTTCAGGGGAAGACCAAGTTCAATGGAAATCCTCGTCTTCGCAATCGTTGCTGCCACAATTCAAAATGAGCCTGTGCACTGAGTCTTGTCGAAGGTTTGGCTAGATTCCCTAATATTCTATGGAATCATCGCACATCCCTGGAAAAGGCAAATTCTTTCTACCTCAAATACCAATTCGGTGATGCTACCCCCCTAAAATAGTAACTTGTGTGTTGTGAAGCACCCCATCGCTGGCCCCCTGAGACATCCCTCAGATAAAATATTTCCTAAAAAATCATCCCACTTCAAGGGTTTGACCACTCACAGGTTGAACTCCACAGTCTCAGTTGTTTTGATAACGAATGCGTAAATGTGAAAGCAATCTACTGTTTAAGTAGAGCACCAGACACAACCATCAATGTCACTCTCGCTTGACGCAACCAGTATTCCATGCATTACTATATGAAGGACCGGGCGTGGACCACCTACAGCTCTGGTTTATACAGTGCATGCTAAACCAGGTAACTCATGATTCAGGCGCAAATGTGAGACAAAAATGGCACAAGACTGCTCTCGCTTCGGTCGTTGGATGCAAATCCCCTTTCACACTGAGCTCACACCCACATGTCCAGCGCTTCCGTTGAGGTTCTAGTTGTTGTAAGTTGGATTGGAAACGTTGCGGCCAAAAGATGACATTCTCGTACTCCCCCAAATAAAGAAAAGTTTCAGATATAAATAAATTGTCTCCATCGTCGGCAGGATTATTTTTCCCTGCTCACCAGCGATTGACTCATCAGACCAGCTTGACAATCCCCTGACTGTATTCCCATTGTGACAGTAGTATATGTACTGTGCTTCCACCTCGTTTGCTAGGCTTCGCTTGCGGCTTGCCGCGGCATCTGCTCTAAGTGCATTCATTATCTAAATCAAGCCCAAGAGATTTGTGAAAAGTACGTGAATGACATGGAAGGATTGAGGCTCGTGTTCCGTGCGGTGATTTATTCTGGAATGTACACTCAGATCCTCAACAGATATAAGCTTCCAGTCAGTTTTTCATGAGAAGTATAACTGAACAGGCACTTTCGTGCTTCAACGTGGTCCATTTTATTAAGAATGCGCATGAAACATATCCCGTCTTCCTCTACCCACATTGTGTGGATGGGTGTCACGCCAAACTTCAGATCTTCTGCATCCACAGCGTTGACAGTGCATGAAAACACTTGGTAGCACTTGGTAGCACTTGCTAGCACAATAGAATATGTAATCTAAAGGATAAACATTAGAACTAGAGATATGGTGGAAGCTAAAGAGAAGTCCTTGAAGTGTGACGTAGGAGAATTGAACAAACTATTAAAAGTTAAGAACTATTATATTTGGAAGTTGAAGATGTCTGCAATCTTAAAGAAAGATAACCCATGGAACATAATAAAAGCAGAGATTAGTCACATCATTCCTTGTAACCATAGTAGGTAGATCTTACAATAAGACCTAGCTAGCAAAAACAAAAAATAGAATACAATTGAGATTCACCATGTTGGTTACAAATAGCTTGATTGAAATAACATCCCAATATAATGATCCTATAGATTCTTAGAATACACTTAAAAAAATGTTCAATGTAGGAGATCAACAATAAATCATATTATTGATAAATAAGTTGAATAAAATGACAATGAAAGATGGAAGAGACATCAACACTTATTTCACAAAAGCAATGGATATGAAGAATCAATTAAACACTTTTGGCAAAAACATCACAAATAAGACACTTATAAACATTGTATTCAATAGATTGCCTCAAAGCTATGAGATAGTGATCTAGAGTATCACTTATATAATAGAATCTACATTTGAAGATATTATAGATAAATTCTTAGCTAAAACTCATCAAATATTAGTAAGACAACAAAAACTAAGAAAAGAAGAGTCATTGATAATACAACTTTAGAAGACATACTTTGAGGGATGTGGACATTGTCACTTTATGCAAGGATGTGATCAAAGAGGAAGAAGTTTTGCTCAAGGAAAATTGTAGTAGTTTGAAAGACAAAGACTTCATATGTTTAATCCATCCCAAATTAAGTAAAGATGACCATCAAGCTATTTGGAAGCAAGAATACAATCAACTACTTAAATTTGGATAACATAGGAATATTAAACTATACTATTGTTATACTTATAGAGGACTGAATCACATTGCATACAATTATCTATAAAATCAATATCACAGTTCCAACATCAATTACTTAGAAGGAAATATATATAGTGATTATCTTTACAAGACAATCAAAGCCAATTTTATTAATAATAAGAATAAAAATTAATAAGTTGACTTAAGAAATAACAACCATTTTACTTGAAAAATATTAAATTTTTACATGATAAATAGACAATCTTTAAATAATTCAGTAAATATTGCAATTAATAGATCTCCTAAGATCAAAGCCATTAAATCCACCAATGCAATCTTAAGTTTTGAAATAATAAACATACATAATATTTTGTATGAACTAGTATTAAGCTAAAATTTTATATCAATATGGTTGTTGTTATATAATGATAAAGTAATGCATGATATTAGATAATAAACATAAGAAGAAAGTGATAGTCTCAAGAACAAGGAATCAACAAAATAGATTTTTTCAATTTCATAACAAAACAATAGATTTTGAAGGTAACTTAGTTACAGTAGAAGAAAATATATAACTATTGTACAAAAAATATGATTACTTACATTACATTGGCTTACAATACTTGTCATAAGCTAATTAAGTACAAGGATTATCATTGTTTAATAAACTTTGAGAAACTTGCAAAGATTTCTTAGAAAGATGACAACATCAAGAATGATTTTTAAAAACTTCATTGCATTGTGTTAAAAAGTCATATTAATACATTCACTTTGATTTAGTAGGTCTTATGAAGACAATATCCTAAGAAAGCTCAAAATACTTTGTTTTTTTTTTATAACCATTCTTACAAAACTTGGATCTATTTCTTATAAAATAAAGATGAAATATTTAAAAAAATTCTAAGAATTTAAAGTGCAAGTAGAGAGAAAGAAGAAAAAAAAAATATACAACTTAAAAACAAATAGAGGTAAAAAATACTTGACATATGATTTCAAAAATTTCTTAATCAATTACAAAATAAAAATATAGCTTACCATGGCTTGTACTCTATGACAAAATAGAATTAGTGAACATCAAAATAAAGCACTAGTAGAAAAAATATGCTTGATGTCAAATACTTGCTAACTACCTAAATACTTATAGATTGATGCTATTTGTATAACTAACTATTTAGTTAATCAGATTCCAATTAGATCTAATCATAATATATGTCCAAAACGTCTATATAATAAAGCCAAACTACATGTAGAATATTTATAAGTCTTTGGATCAATTGTCTATTTGCACATTCTAAAGAGAAACCACTTAAAACTTGAGAGTAAAATCATTCAATGTATATTTGTACAATATGATGACCAAACAAAAGCTTATAGATTTTTTATTCCTTACACAATAAGATACATATAAATTACAACATTGTATTTGATGAAATATTAATTGGATTTGATCATATAGAATGCCACTCAATTCAAAGAAATAAATTCAATAAATTTTTGATATATTAACTATGAATTTATCTAATACCAATGATCAATTAATAAATGATCACTCAACACATGAATATACTAAACATAAGAAAGATAATAGCTCAAATACTTCTTTGCTAATATTAATAAGTAAATCACCTTCTTTTCTTTAAAAAGACATATCAAGGCATACATCCCAATCAATACCACCAAACCTAGTTGATCAACAAGATATTCTATTAGAAACAAAAATTCAAATACTAAATTCAAGAATAGCTACATGTTCATAATAGAATCAAACATTGAGTCCAAATATTATAAAGAGTCTATTTAGCATAGCGGATGGTAAGATGCAATCAAATAAGAGGTAGAATCTAAAAACAAAAAAAAAATAAAAAAAAAACAACATGTAGAGATTAATAGACTTATTTGAAGAAAAAATTCAAATATCACCAAAATGAATTTTTAAATTTAATCAATACCTTTGAAATGATAGATGTCAAGGATGCAAAACTATAGTTGGGAATCAAATTACAATACACCAATAAAGACATCTACTTCTACTAAAGATTAAACATTGAATTGGATTACTACTACATTAAGAAGAAGCATCAAGATGATACAATTAAAATAAATTACACTCTTATTCATTCATAATAAACAAGTATATTTACCAAGGCCTTAGATTCTATTGATTTTATCAAAATCAAAGAATCAACAAAAATTAAAGAAAATAATAGCATAGATATATAAATAAATAAAATCCTATTCTAAAAAAATTAAAAAATAACTTGACTTAATTTCTTAGTTGCAAAAAGTCATGTACTATTTTTCAAATTCTAAATTTTTTATACTTTAAACTTTTATAATTCTAAACATGTTTTCTATATTCCTACCATATTGTAAAAACTTATGTCTTATATCTACAATGTATGGCATAAAATACAAGTAGCTGCTCCTCTAATGAAACCTCCAACTTTGAATACTTCTTCAACCACACCACTATAAAAAAAAACTACTCTAAGTCAAGTATCATTATTATCATCTTTATAGTCCTTCTATGTCATGGACATACATATTTACATAAATAAGAAGTGCTAGGTAGAAGATAAATATAGGTAAATTTGATATTATCTTGTGTCAAAGCTTTTTAGAAGCTTCATGGATATATATATTTGATTATATAAATATATATATATATATATATATATATATATATATATATATAGTTGATTGATAGGTCAGAAATTTGGCCAACAAATTAGCCATATGTTGCATGTGTAGATAGCTTGTGGTACAAGTTAATGATGTAGTGGACATTTAGGAAATTTTTCTAGCAAGTTAAGATATGTGTCTTATAAATTGGACATTTGTTAGAGGTCTTATAGGATGTTGCTACATAGTTCCTAGTTGGATAATATATATGGAGGCAAGAGTGAAGCCTTTTCTCTTCTTATTAATGCCTTTCTAGTCCTTAGTCTTATTTCAAGACTTTCTAATCTTCTTGTCTTTAAAATAACCATTTTAATTTAATATATTAACATTCTTGAATGATTTTTTAATCTTTTAGAGTGAAATAAGAAAGTATTAAGAATTTCTTTGAAATTCATGTCTTGAATAATTTGACAAGAATGCTATCTTGTTATCCTTGTTTTATTTTAAAAATGAGTGGATTATCCAACTTCTATTGTTGTGTTTTGAAGGTTATAGAATATCCACCTTTAAACTCACTTTA